TGATTTAATAAGCCTGTCACATAATCAAGGGAACATACTTAACCATGCACTTAATATTCCTATACTCTGGTTTACATGCTGGAATACTGGAATATATATTCATGTTCGTCAACAGAAAGTACTTATGTGTCCTCTGGTCATTAATTATATTAATATTCTGAATTACTAAAATGATATTTAAATCAACTCACTGCAACAGCACAAAAGTGTTCAGTCATTGAAACATCTGGCAGAAATAGACCTTAATAATGGAAGAGAATATTGTAATCAGGAGAATGTATTTTCCCCTCTTTTTGGGGTCAATTGACTAGTACAAACAGTAGCACTAGCAATGTGTTTTGTCATTAGCAAAATATGGGGAAAATATAGTAGCTTTGTGAATGCATGCAAACATCACACCTTACATTCAGTGCCCTCAATGCATTCTCTCAATGCGTTCTAATCTTTGCATTAAAAAAACCTGCGTGGGCAATGGCCTTTTTTCATTTCAGCCAAGCAAAACAACCTAGAGGTAATTTAGTTTACATTCATTTCCATCAGCCAAGCCACCCTGCAAAACAAACGCAGAAGCTTCAACCGTCATTCATGTATACTTTAGAAGTAATCTATGCCTGGTTTAATGCATAGAGAAAGAGCTGAACTGCAAGCAGGTTGGATTAGTATTCAGGTACTGTGTGTTGCAAGTCTCAGCCCCAATACGCATCAAATGAGACTGCAATAACAACACATGCAGGCCATGGAACGAGGCAAGATAAGAAAAGGAAATATGGTAAGAATAAAGCAAAACGTGTTCATATAAACACGCACAAGTATGCAGAATGTTCTGACTGGTAAAGCCCAGCGTGGATGACAAGTCTGATATGTGGTGATAGGGGGACTCACACATGGACACACACACACACTAAAGGCCAATAATGACACTAATGTAGACACACTCTTATCTCCTCTAGACATGTCATGGTCTGTGTAGAAATACATTGTTTTTTGGGAGGTATGGATTTTACCCCTATAAATAAAGAGATGAGCAAATTGGTATGACATATTTGTAGATGAAAATTTTGTGTTTAATCTTGCTAAACTTGTTAAATATTACTTGTCAGTGCAGAAAGTTAATGTATAAAATTACTGAAGGAAATACTGAAGGGTGCTGTGAGCAGTGAAAGCAGAGAAGAGGAAGATATACAGTAATTTTCCATAAAGTATTTTTTTTTATTATACAGTGCTCCTGAACGGAATACTTGATTCGGATTTGCAAATCATGTAATTAAAAAAAAAAGTTTTTTTTTTCTATAATGACAAGTAAACAGTATGGTTGACTTTCCAATGATTCAGCTTTTCCAATTTCTTTTCATAATTCAAAAGTCTGGGATCTGTAAAACTTTATTCAGAAAGAATGCAATAAATTGATAAAAAAAAGTGACAGTAAAGATATAATGATACAAAAGATTTCTATTTTAAATAAATGTTGTTCTTCTGATATTTTTATTCATCAAAGAATCAAAGTCAGTCAGAACAAAAACTTTTTAATAAGTAATGGGAATTGTGTTACCAAATCAGCATATTAGTTATTGTGACACTGAAAACTGGAACAATAGTTGCTGAAAATCCAACTTTGCCATCACAGGATTTTTTTTTTGTAATAACATTTCACAATATTTCTGTTATTGTATTTTTGTTCAAATTTTGTTCAAATGCAGCATAGGAAGTCTTTTTAAAAGATGAACATCCTATGAATGGTAGTGTATATTATACTATGGCTGACGATATATATTGTGGCGACAGTATAAAATGCATTGACTTTGCTATATCGTTTATGTAAATATATACACATAGCACAGTAGTACTTAAAGGTATACTCCGCTTTTTTGGAAATAATAGCTGAGTTTTACCATTTTTGAATCCATTCCGCTGATTTTCTGATATTTAGAAGAATATCAGTAACCAGGAAAAAATATATACTATGGAAGTCAATGGGACCAGAAACTGTCTGGTTACTGATATTCTTCTAAATATCAGAAAATCGGCTGAATGGATTCAAAAACTCAACTGTTTAACTCTGGGGGAGTTGTAAAATGAGCCTATTTCCAACAAAAAGTGGAGTATCCCTTTAAAGTTATTGACACTTTAGAGTGATAAAGAAACATGCAAAAATGTGTAGTGAATTAAGAGATGTTCCTTGATCCTGTATGCATTTTGTTCATCCAGAGACCATAAAACAGATTCTGATTCCTAGTCCATCTATCCACTGAAAAAGACAAATTTGTGTTGTCAATGTAAGCATGTGTTTGTGTCTGCATTTGTGAGTGCTTGTTTCTTAGCATGTGTCAGCTCAGCTTGTGGTGAGGCTTGCATCAGCAAAACTATAACCCAAAAGCTGACAAAATATTAAAGAAAGGGGAAGGGGGGGATGAAGTACAAAAACAGAAAATAACTAGAGAATGACAAGGCCAGACACAGGGCCAAGAGAGCAGCAGCCATTGGCGCTGCCGTTCCTCATTGTTGTCTGCAGTAATGTAGTCAATGGTGCAGTGAGACTGGCCCCGGGAGCCAGCAGACGGCCCTCCTCCACCAGCTGCTTTTAATTAAACCCACCAATCCTGCTGCAAAACTCACAAAACAAACCTACCTACATTCATGATACAACCCGAATATGTACATATTCTAACACTTAACATCTAAGAGTTGTTGTTTCAATATTTTCATTTTCCTATCATTCCCAGAAAAATATGAAATCTATCTCAAGCTGTCACAATGTGTTTCTACGGCCATATCAGAGCTAGCGTTGGTAGAATCCTTTATTTTTCACATCCCACAGTGACCAATTGAGATTTTGTTAGCAGAAGTTTTACTGCAGACTCAGAATCCATTGTTGGCTTGATCCCACATGAGCCAATAATCACCCCTAATGAAAACTGTACCAGTTTACTGCATTGCTAAGACGTTTCTATAAAACATACAGTATGATATAATAAGTTTAAATAAGTTTCTTTTGCCATTACAGTCACCGGAATCAACGTATTACATTTATATTCTATAAAATGCTGTTTAAAAATATCTTAAAGGGATAGTTCCAGCATAATTGAAAATTCTCTCATCATTCTATGAATCACAAAAAAGACATTATGAACAATATCTTGACCATATAATGAAAGTCAGTAGAGTCCAAAACAATATTGGACACCATTAACTTTCACTGTATGGACAATACAAAGACATTTTACAATCACCTTTTGTGTTGCACAGAAAAATGTCAGTCACGGGTTTGGAATGAAAGCGTTTGGTTGAAAGAAGAAAAACTTGTTTGATAAGAACAGTTGCTTTGTTCAAGTTGGGTTAGAAAAGGGTAAATTAGTCTAAAATTGGAGGACAGAACGGACTATCTTGGATAAGCGTGAAGCAAATGTATGTTTACTTTTGAGAAAACGCTTAATTCCAAAGGGTATTTCATTGAAAAATGAACAACCAAAGAAAACATCCTAATGCGCAAAATACTACAGGCATTTGACAACTTCTTTAAACTTTGCAGAAAGTAGAGAACAAGGAGCAACCCTTGTCTGAAGGATGATTATGTCCAGCAGCAGGAGAGAGATTAAAATTCACCAGCAGCTATTTCTGCTCTGATTGAAGGAGCACTGAGACAAATAGTGAAACAGACTGAGAAATGAAGAGGAGACATAATCTGGCATGCACAATTAAAGAAACAGTTCACCAAAAAATGTAAGTTCTGTCATCACATACCTAAAATCATGATGTTTGAAACGTTTATGGTGTCATTTCCATCAAGCAATAAATAGTATTTTTTTAATGCAGCTCTTTTTCATACAAGAACAGTTCATGGCTTTCAAGGACCAAAATGCATCATAAAATCATCATAGAAATGGTCCATACTAGGGTTGTCATAATATACTAATACAACCACCAGCATCAGTCTGTACAAAAAGTAGTGCAGTGCCTATAGTAATGATTACTGGATATTTTCAGTACACGCTGCATCAAAGGTTTCTATTCACAGTGTGTGTTTTTTTTATGCCAGATGCATTCACACCGGACGCGAATAGCGCGTCAGGCGCGAGTGAGTTCAATGTTAAGTCAATGGAAAGACGCGTTGCGCATGTAAAAAATTCCTGCGGCGCGAATGAGACGTAGAGCGCGGCGCGGTAGACACGAATTGAGCATCTGGCATGTTCAGCGCGTTGCGCGCAAATGATTTACTTAGTGCTATTTGTGCATTCACGCGTTTGACACGAATTCGCGCCTGCCGCCCCAAGTTGAAAAATCTGAGCTTTGGCATCAATTCGCACCGTGTTAACCAATCAGGAGCCATAGCTGCTTGCTCACGTGGAGAAGTATCTAGATGCTTCAATAAATTATTTTGTAATATAACTAAATGCCTGGTGTGGTTCTAATGCCCATCAAAGCAAACATGACACGCATAAATTTCGCTCACAATCAACTAACGAATGGATTCAAAGTGTTCACGCGTATAACTAGACGAGGTAGGTGCGAATTTGACGCGCTCTTTGTGTCTGGTGTGAATGCACAGTAAGGGAAAATGACTGGAAAAAGTGTAAAGAATTCAAAATGTGTCTGTGATGTTCTGACAATAAGGAGTAGTTTAAAACCACAATTTACAGTCTGGTTACTTAGGGGCAAAAATCTGCCGTTAAAAAGAAAAAAAATTAAGATTTGACATGTTTCTTGAAACTTTCTGAAGATTTTATTGTGATGATATCGTCCAGCCCTAGTACAGACTACTGAAATATTGGTACTGTGACAACCCTAGTCCATAAAACATTTATCTTAAAAGTTTTACCATAATGTATATCTTTGTGTAATAATAAACATGAAATATGTTCTCACTGATAACTTCTGTAGGGTTTTTTGGCAAGAGCTCCTAAAAGATGTATCAGGCATTGTGTTCCAAGGAAAGTAATAAATAATGGCAGAAATTTCATTTTTGGTAGAACTATTCACATTAGCACATATCAAATAAGCCTCACCTCGGGCCACGAATCTTTGAGGAGAACCTCTCGGCAAGTTTCTCTAGACTGCGAGAATACTCCAGTTGAATCTCAGCCTTGCGCCGAAAAAACTCCTGCAGGTCCTGCAACAGCTGGATCCGAGCCTCTGATTGCTGCTCCAGGCACTTGAACTGCTCCACCAACTGATTACGGATCTCTGAGCAACAGAGTACACATAAACACGTTAGTTTGACTCAGCACAAATCTCTATGTGTACATACTGTATACAAAAGTAGTTAGGTACAGATGTTCTCTTCTCAAACTGGCTGAATCCATTTAATCCATTCAGCTACGGACCAAAGAATTTCTACAATTATTCCAGTCATTCTTGACTACTGGATACGCATACATTACATCATTCCAAGGGTATACATCAATCCAATATAGATATAAAGGAAAACAACCTACCACTTAATAGAAAATTTGCATTCAAATTGGTAAATGGAAATGGAAAAATTTCAAATATATTCAGTATACCAAGTCCGATGCTTTGTCCTTTAATAAAAATGGATGAGTTTGAAATCCACACTTGTTTTGTCATAATATAAGCTTTAGGCAACAGCTGTACAGCTGTTCCTTATCAAACATCCACATGTTATGCAAAGGTTACAAATTTTGAAGTAGTGGTTGATTAGTGAGGTTTTCTGGATTAACTAGAGTTTTTGTTTTTATATTATGGATGGGTGGGTGGTCATTTTCCTTCTCTGTGTTGTAGCACTTGCTGCTATTTAGAGAAACTAATATTCAAGAACAGAGCTTGGTCTTACAGAAAAATCACTAACTTGCAGTTAATTGCAAATAAAGGTTTCCTGCCACAAATAGTGTGTGCTTGAACTGACAACCTGTTCCCTTAGTCCTGAGAGAGAGAAAAGCGAAAATTATACGAACACAACAGCGAAGTACATGTAGGTTGTATAGTAAGTCATGTCCCTCAAGGCAGCCAGTTTCTACAGTGTTAAAGCAAAGCTTATTTCATGTGCCATTTCAAAAACGCCTCTATTCCTTCAAAGACTCCCTTTGAAGGAAAATTTCATTATTACAGTTCCCTGCACCAAGGTCAACAGAACAATTAGACAACAGAAAAAGTAGCTTGATGAAGTAAATCAAGCCTGACACAAAAGAAAGCTCACAATCAAACACAACTTAAGGTAGATAGCTTTACGGGAAACAAAATAAATCCACTGCGATATTGATCGACTTGTGTAAAGCTGCTCGGGTCGAAAATTCTGATCTGCTGCTAACACGAAGCAACATCTCTCAGAGCTAGCCCAGTCAAGCTGTCGAGAGTGTCAAATAACTGCATTCTGTGGGCTTCTTACTAATGGTGAAATATTAAAGTGTGAAATAGTAGTACCATTAGTAAAATGTGGTGCTAAATGTGGTACTATTGTGGTACTAATATTTAAAATGTAAAATATGGTACTATTGTGGTACTAATATTTAAAGGAGCTGTATGTAAGAAATTTTTTTACAAATAATCATAAAATTGCCCTGATATGTCACTAGACATTAAGAAATCATGTTCATTTCAAATTCTTACTTGACTGACAACAGTAGTCCAGCCAGGATATTGTCATTTAAAAAGTGAAGTTGCAGCTCTCAACTGATGTTGATGTTGTCATGTTGTGTTTTGGTCTGATGCGCCACCCTCCACCTATCTACTAAGTCAGTAGTGTTGCAGCATTCAGGTTGCCAGCTCTGCTCTAGTTTCCACAGCTGCAGATACAAACGTGTCAGATAAAAAAAATGTTGGGTCCCGCAGCCTATCTGGCAACCTCGAGTCAGGGGGGAGGGGGAAGAGATACACGCTCTACAGTAATTTGAAAGTGATTACAGTACCAGTTTTGGCCACAATCTTACATACAGCTTCTTTAATTTCCATATTTTCAAACGTTAAACCATTGAGCTTTTACATTCTGACGATTTCAGAGTAAAACATGGCACATGTGGGCAGCTCGCAGACTGTATCATGGGCAGCACTGCCACTCTGGAGCCAGTATTGAATATATTCATTTAAATAAATCACAATACGTAATTTTCACAAACACACTAAGTCATAGCTTAAAGGCATAGTTCACTTTGAAAGAAATTTTTGATATGTTTTAGCTTACCTCAAGGGCATCCAAGATGTAGGTGTCTTTGTTTCCACGGTATTTTCAATTTTGACATTTTTCAGTCAAACCGTTGTTATCTATCAGTCATACACTGGAGGCTAAGGGGGTCCACCAAAAAGCATGCACAGAGAAGTCAAAATTAAACACAATTTAATGACTCGTAAATGTAAGGACACATTGATGGCCTAAGACACGAAACGAGCGGTTTGTGTGAGAAAACAAACAGTATTTATATCGCGCCTACGTCACTCTTTATTTATACAGAGATTTCGGAAGTTTTACCTTTTACTAAACATATTTAGATATACGGGAAACCGCAATGGAAGACGATTTCGGTATATCAATATAATATGTTTAGTAAAGGGTAAAACTTCCGAAATCTCTGTGTAAATATTGAGTGACGTCACACGCAAGCGATCACGTCCGGCGTAACACTGAACTGATTCAGTTCGGTTCAGTTGGACATTGCACAACTGATTCAGATCACTTGGACGTCACTGTGATTACACGAGGTAAAAACGATATAAATACCATTTGTTTTCTCACACAAACCGCTCGTTTTGTGTCTTAGGCCATCAATGTGTACTTACATTTACGAATGATTAAATCATGTTTAATTTTGACTTCTCGGTGCATGCTTTTTGGTGGATCCCCTTAGCCTCCAGTGTATGACTGATAGACAACAACGGTTTGACTGAAAAATGTCAAAATTGAAAATACTGTGGAAACAATAAAACCTACATCTTGGATGCCCTTGAGGCAAGCTAAAACAAATCAAAAATTAATTTCAAAGTGAACTATCCCTTTAATGTTGATTGTATTTTGTTATATCGTGCAGCCCTCGCTACAAAAGAAGAATTAACAATTACTTTCAACTGCAAAAACTTGTTGAAATGGGAGAGTGTTCTCTTTCTCCTGTGATATTGTGCTGGGTTGACCGAACCGCAGTTTAGCATTACAATTTTTGGTTAACCACTGGGAACCTGGCTTTTCCTTTAGAAATGAGGGCTACTGCCTGCTGGCACTATTTGCAGTTAAAACCCATGTGGGCCCTCTTTAGAGGTAGCTTATTGAAGAAGAAGAAAGCTAACGGACCGCTATTGGTTGATACCGTTCACCAAGACTCCCTGAAAACTTCACCTTTTTCTGTTTTTCATTCTTTCTCTCTGCTTTTTCACAAACTCTTTTCTCAGCATGTATTCGTGTAACAAAACAAGAGAGCCTACAGGAATGCCCCAGAAACATCTGACACCGTTTCGCATGAATGGTAGGCAGGACTTTTTTGAAAACACTCTTGTAAAAGGAGCAGGTTTAAAAACCTGCAGCAGTGCGAGAGCCGAAAAATAGGTCACGTAGTAAGTGAGCTTCTCACAGAGACCCTAAGCCATCACAGAATTATTCACAAGAAAGAGGATTCTAAGTGCGCTGTGTTCACTCTGTGGCTTCACTTGATGGCTGGAACTCATAGCTTCTCTCAGAAGAGGAATGCTGTGAATTTTGGCCTGACGTCCCTTCGGCCCCCGTATAACACTGTGAACTGGTTACATTAGAAGCAAGGAATTACTTAACGGAAGGATCTCTCTGGAATACCCTCATCTGATGTGTCCGAACTCTGTCACAACCGCTGTCTGCAAATAGCTGAACGATTATGTCAACACAAAGGTTGACGACGTACCCCTGAATTACACTTTAAAAACAAACACACGAGTTGAGACCATCTGATTTCAATGAAAAACAAATAGCCCGTCTCTCATATTAGCAAAACATGATGACTAAGCCATCTGAATAAATAGAGATGATGGATCCCTATTATAGAGTATGAAAAGTAGGGTAAAGAGCCAAAAATACACAAAAGATCATCTAAGTATACAGGCAACAAGCCTAACCTTTAATTTAAAGGTTTTCTAACAGAAACTATCTATCAAGATACTATCTATTATCCTATATACTGTGCGTCATTTACTTCCCTTTCCCCCCAAACCATTTCCATCTGAGCCTTGGGTCCATTTGTTTATGATGGGACTTGAATAGGGTGTAATAGAGATTCCAGAAATGTTCTTTGTAATTAAAACTCACAAGACGTGCTCTCAATAGGTGTTGGTCTAGAGCTGTGGTTCTGCGGAGCACTGGTGGTCTGTGCACGTCTCAGAAAGGGTGTATTTATTTGATACAATATTTTTGTGGAAACCATGATATTTTTTTCAGGATTCTTTTGTAATATTATAAATGTCTTTCTGTCACTTTTGATCAATTTAATGGATCCTTGCTGAATAAAAGTATTCTTTAGTACTAGTAGTAGTGTTGAGGGAAGCTAATCAATCAACTCTGCCTAACAATTTCTGGTAACGTTTTTTAATTGTCTCATTTGTACATAAGTGTTTGGTCCGACGTTTCACCTGAAGAGCAGTCAGCAATCTAGTTAAATAAATAAAAAAGTAAAAAGACAGAACACAGCAGTCTGGAAAAATTAAGCACACCACTTAAAATTGCAGGTAATTGTTTAGAAGTTGTTTGTATTTTCTCCGAGATTTGAGGAGTTATGTGATCCACAATCTTTCATAAAACACCCACCATTCACAGTTCGTTCAGTGTGTTCGTTTATTAAATATCATGTCTAATTTGATAATGCTTTCAGTTGACATCAAGACGGCAGTATTCTCAGCTTTGTTTAACTTAATTTACCATGCTTAACCCTACGGTGTTGCCACCCAGTCATACTTGTCTGTATAATTTTTTTGGAAGCCTGCTTCATCCATCTCTTTGCATAAATGTCACATGACGGTGTAGGTTATTTCTTTATGCCTTTTTGAACACTTTTCGTATACTGTGCAGTTTGAAAATGCCTGTATTATGGATTTTTGTTCACCTGATTTGGAATGAGCCATTGTTTTTCAAGGTAAGCGTGCTAGATGGATGTCTTCTGTTGCACTCACGTCACAACATGACATCATGACTTTTGCGTAAACATACACGCCACTTTCGAGTCAAGTGGCGTGTTATCTCTACGCATTTTGAGCTATCCGCGTGTATCCGCGTGTATGTC